GACAACATTGACCAATGCGCTAGAATTGACGACTCGAATAAACGTTGAATACTATAAATAATGTTAATAAAAATGGATTAATCATCATCAATATTAAATATACGTTTGATTTCCCTCTAATTACAGTGTATTAGCATAATTAGCATATGGAAAATTGTCTCCATAACATAGCATTGTTACCAATACGTTAACGTCCGGTATTTGCGCTTGGTACGTTGGTAGAAAGCGGGACAATAGAGTTACATAAATATTTTTTTCATTATTCTCGTAGACATATGCAATATTTTTAAACGTGTTAAATAGATCTTGATTATTTTTGGCTTTCAAAACTTTCATTAATAACTCGTTTAAGTGAACCTCATTTGTTGTAAAGTGCAATTTGATAAGTAACTTGTCAAATTTATCCTGAAATTAGTGTGATCAAATTTAATGTTACAAATAATTTGCAATTTAGATAAATTATAATTATAATAAATTAAACGTGCATTTTATTTAATTCTATGTTTTAATTAAACACACTGTACATTAAATAAAATTGTGTAAAACCACGTAAATTATGCGTGATAAAATAATGATACTTTTTAAAAAATATATTATACTTGTCTGATAATGTAAATTTGGCAATTCTACCTTAAAATTTGAATTAAATCCGGCTGAAAATGTCGGGTTATCGTATATGTATAACGCGTCCCAATGGGTGAATACATCGTATCGGGTGTCCAGTATGTCATCGATAGTGTCCGCGTGAGTGACCCCTCGTGTGACCATTTGTGCTGTCAATTCATTTTGTATTATATATACTAATGGTGTGATTGATAGCAACCACAGGGCGTACCGGTAATTACGTTTACCGAATACGTAATGATTGCCTTTTAATAGTAATGGTTGGAAAAATATCCAAGCGAATTGGTTCATGTTCATTTCACCAGTGTACAAATAATTCAATAGGGTATTAATGATTATCATTAAAATTAAACTACTTATAATATAAAACCAAATGATGTTTGAATAGACACTAAACGCATAAATCATTGACGCCAACGGTCGCACGTGATCCAAACTTACATAATTGAGCATGTATCTCATGTAAAATGGCCTGGTGCAATTCAATTTAAGTGCCTCAACACCATAATCTAATGCTGATAATTCATGAATGGTTAATAAACCTTTTTGAATTGCTAGTTGTCTCGCATCTTGGTCAACCGTCAATTGATTGGCCATTACTTGGTCGCAGTCGTGCATCACTTTAATTGAGATACTAAATGATAATTTGAAATTAAGTTAGCGGATTTTATTTTATGCTTTTACCTTAATCATAATCTATTTTTTCAATTAATAAAAAGCACAGTAATCAAATTAAATGAATACCTATAATTATACCGGTGCCCAATCATCATTAATATGGGTATGACTAATGTGTTAAAATACCAACCATTATTATTTTCAGTTTGAATTAATTCTTTCTGTTATTCAGAAATTATCAAAATCAAATAATTGTAAATTACAATTGGTAATTATTTAAATTATATTCATTATAATAATTTATAATATAAAATATTAGAGTACCTTTAATGGTTTTGTTCCAATAATCCATTCGCCATTTTCATCGGGTATATCACTGGCCAAAAAGCGGGTGCAGTTCACGTGCGTTATGTTATAGGGCTCCACAAACCGGTGCGCAAAACTACCCACAGGTCTACTCGAGATGAACTCATACGGATGTCCAAACATGGTTACAAATTCATTATATTGCATTTTATTATAATTTTATTTACTACCTTGGTAATTATAATTATTAGCTTTGTAATTTCTGTAAAATAATAATACCTAAAATATATTTACCTTTATATATTATTAAGTGTTAACTATTATATTTATGGTTATGTCTTTATAAAATCATTATATAAACCGTACAAACATTGCTGTTTCCCAGAAGCTTGTGGTAAAAATGTACAGTACATGTAATTTGTTTGAATAAATTATTAATGCAAAATACAATTTTATTATTCTCGAAATTAATTCAACATTACAGCATTTATATTGATTTATTTAAATTAGTTTTATGTATAATAAGAATTATTATAAATAAATATGATAATTATTTTGTTGAGTATAATAAATTATTTTAATATAAATCTAATTATTAGCTAATATAATATAATATACTGTATTATATATAGACGGAGGTGTCGTCGGTATGAGTGGTCGAGAGATATGTGATAACAGGTGCACTGCGGGGGCCATACCCTACAGGGCTTACAGTTCTCGCCAGCCGTGTATTCAACCGATCGCACCGTAAGATAATGAGCACATTCCTCGCGCGCGCGACACAAGTACCGTATTAACAGGACTTACAGCCCGTTACACATTACTGATATGCGTTGGACAGTACGGGTGATCCGGTGGTGGCGGCGGAACCGCTGACCACAACCATTGGCCCCATTAAATAGTTGTTGACAATCGGGTGACACAAAACCCATTCATACACTTTGATATACACGCGAAGAGTACATCAAATGATCGATAAATAAAATGAAAATCAGATGAAACACAACAAGTGATGCAAACAATGGATGAAAACCATTGAACGTATGAATGATTTCTCGGATCAAATGATATAAACACTTGCTTTTCAAGCATTACGTCAACCGTTGGATCAAATCCATGACAAGGCATACGAATCAGATGGACATCTAGCGTTGCCAGAAATATTTTGGCATTTCCTGGAAAATTTGAAAATTTTGCCCTAATTTCCTGGATTTTCCTGGATTTGAGTTGTCAGTTACCCCAAAAATATCTATGATAACATTTTTATTAAATTTTGTAATATAACGTTTGTTTCAAAATTTTTACAATGGTTACACATAGTTTACAAATGGTTATAATAATGCTTACACTACTATTATTCTCGATATCTATAAACCTCAGTGAACCACATTGACTATAAACCTGTATAATTTGTTAAACACTATTTTTACACCTCATTTATCCAAAATTTACTTCCTGGATTTTTCAATGTCCAGGAATGACCCCTCCTTGGACTCTGCAAAAAGTGTCCATTTCCTGAATAATCCAGGACGTTCCTGGACGTCTGGCAACGCTATGGACATCACGTGTGGAACAGATCATCAAATGCCAGATTTGGTTGAATAATGAGATAAAATGAACAGAAAATACAACAACGAGTGATGCAAACAATGGATGAATACAACGAAAACAATTGAATCAATTGGTGAATAAGACGGCAAACCATGGATTAAATGAATACACAGGTGGGAAAAAACGGGAAAAAACTCATAACAAATACAACAAAATAATACACATAAAACAATACAAAAAAATGGTACAAAAAATAAAATAAAAAATAATACAAAAATAAACTAAAAATTAATAAAATAATAAGTTGTTTGATGTTTGATATCGATAGTGAGCTGTTCCTCATCCTTGTGTCCGTGAATCACATCCAATACATCCACTATTTTATAATGTCTTCAGTGGTGTTGACTTTAACGGCGAAACCGCTTGAGATGTATGTCTTCTTCTGTGGCGGATATCGAGAAACAGTTGATTGAGTGACGAAACCATTAATTCAATGCTTTTGATAGTCGGCTGAAACCAGTGTTCAGTATATTGTTTAGCAATGTCTCCAATTTATTATCAAATTTAATACCATAGGCTTATACTAAACGTACGGCTGTTTGACAGATAATGCGGGCCCACAGGGGCTGAACCCTCGGCCCCCTTAACCTCCTTCACGTTCAATACTTTGATATTAGGCTTAATTATAATATGTGAGAGATTTTGGGCTCCGATAAGAGTAGAAAATTGTTTCCCTTTTATTTATGGAGAAATACAATTAAAAATTATTTTAAACATTTGATTAATATTGTTTATCACACAATTATCCAACATACCTGTAATTTGCGCTTGGTGTTTGTCACCTCCACACTCAATACCCAATCACTGTGACAAACAGTTTTAAGGCATTTGGCCACTCTATACAATTTGGCAACAGTTATGTTATACACGAGTTGTGCGGACAAACTGTCGGACAAGTGGCGAGACTTGTGCTCATAAATGGGCCGATTCTGTGACCAATCGTATACTTTGACCGACAAATCAAAATCCAGTTTTTCGTAATAGTCGTCGCAAACTAACGATACCTATAATTAAATGTCATTTTTAATTGATTTTATAATTAATTTATAATATTTATATATAAACGAGATGATCAATATGGGTGTGATACTAATAAGGTGCATTATGTTTATTTCTATTTTATCATGTTTGTAATTGTAAAAATTATAAATCAAGTCAAATAAAACTTTAATATTGTAAATAATATCAAGTTTTAAACATTAAGGCTATAATAAATTTATTTTAAAACATGGATAAACTAAATGATATAATAATTTTGTTTAAAACAAATATTTTTCACAGAATATTCTACATATTCTGTGCGATGGGATGTCTGTATCAATGCTACACAATATGTGATATATATTTCTCGTATAAAACGATAACATTTGTTAATTACGACAACTTTTCAGTCATCTCTTTCCCGGCGCTCATCATATGTTTGGACAAAATCAATGTTTTAAAAGATCAATACATCAAACAATTGAATATCACTAATCGTCAAACGGATAGGCATTTAATGATGGATAGAGTGAACAGATTTTGCGGTAATTATACGATTCGGGAACAGTTGGATGTATTGTTCAAAAAATACGATGACATAATAGGCATGTGTTTTATGGCAAATACAAAGGATATAAATGCAATCAACGCATCTGATTTGAATGCCTTTGATTTGTACACTGATTGCAATGATATCAGTCCCGTTCGGCAGACAATAGACTATCGATCGTAAGTATAATTATTAATATAAAATGCAATTAATAAATTAAAAAATAAATGCTAGTTACTTAAAATTTAATATACTGCAAATGTAAAATACACACACTTATAGGAATTTTAAAAAATAATTAATTAGTTATAATTTATACTCTATGTATTGTTACAATTATATTAAGTGGTATATATTATTAAATACTAATACTAATTAACATGTAATATTATATTTATATTATGTAGTTTTATATTATAAAGTATATAAACTTGTTAATACAAACAGAATGTGTTTCACATTTATGTCTCAATCGAGCGATCAATCGGACAGTTTGTTTCAAACGGACAATCATTACCACTACCGGGATCTCAAAGGCATGTTTTTGGCTAAAATACTAGTATTAATACAAACAGAATGTGTTTCACATTTATGTCTCAATCGAGCGATCAATCGGACAGTTTGTTTCAAACGGACAATCATTACCACTACCGGGATCTCAAAGGCATGTTTTTGGCTAAAATACTAGTCACCGCACGAGCTGTCCAGGTAGTGGTCCACCGACGGGACCAACAAATTGGGAGCAAGTATTGGCTCCAATTTGTTGACTACCCTATATATGACAGCACTGGCCAACTCGGACAGGCCTACTATATTGACTACCGGCACACAACCGTACGTTCCCTACCGGCGCCACATCAGACACAGTGTGTCGACTACAGCAAACGGCCGTATAAATCATTGACCGGTTGTATACAGAGCTGTCGTGTGCGAGAGTTGACACAACGATGGTCGGGCAGTTGGCCCGGACATTACCT